GATTTTTCTATCTTGCATCTATTCATACTGGCTTAGATGTCTTATAAGCCTTTAGCACTTAAAGCTAGTGCCTACAATTGAGAAACGGTTGGATGCAAGAACAAAATACTACTCAACTTAAAAATATCTTCCAGCTAGAGCTGAGGTAACTTTGAGTTGATCAGAAGCTTCCATTGACCTTTACTAAATTTGATTTTCTGGATTTAGAAGAGTTTCAACTCCCTAAGCAAAATTTTGCTTAGTGGAGCACTGAGAAGCAGATGCAGTGTAGGCATCTTGGTGCTTCCCACTCAGCGCAGCTTTCTTTTAGCAAGCAAGTACCACCAATGAACAATGTGTGAGAGGTCTCTGCTGTCTCTTATCAGTCATAAGTAGTAATTTTCTTTGTGTTGAATCAAATCTTAAGTGAAAACTTCAGGATATTTCATGAAAGGTTATTTTACAGGTAATACTAATATTAGTAAGACTGGTAGCTGTCCTATCTTTAAGATTCGTAAGGTATTTTTCTGATAAGTGTTTTTAAGCCTTACAAGTCTGTCCAGCCCCTTGAATACCTAATGCATGTGTACTTATTCAAGTGGTTAGGCTTTGAAAGATGCATTTTTTCCTCAAAAGATCAGAATGATACTAATCTTTGGCAAAACTCTTGAAAATATACATCAGCTATATACATAGGGGCTTTTTTTTTCAGTATGTAATATCGTTATAAATATAGAGCAGCTCAAATGGGGAGATCAAGAATGTTCCATGTGAGGCCAGAGCAAAACTGCTCCTGTCATTATAGACTTGAATCTGAACATCCTTTAGATAAACTAATGCAGAGTAGTAAGTACTTGACTAGGAGGGCCAACATGCTGTCCAGAAATAGATACAGAAAAGACAGATTTATATGGTTTAGGAAGTGAATGAGAAGGCCTAAAACAATATTTAAAAAAACCTGATTCATAAAGGCTTGTCACTTTTACTGAATTCAGTGAGGACTGAGAGATCATACTGCAGTTTTTGACTGCTCCACCGCTGCTCTAGGTATTAATGAGCAAGCTGTACTGGCTATGCTGTGGTCAGCTATTTTCTTTGGTGTTCCTAAAAGGTTTTATTAGAAATATACTGCTATTTCAGTTTCTGACTGGGGGAGAGCAGGGAAGGAAGAGAAGCAGTCTTCAATGAGGTATTTACACCTGATTTGATTCCCTGAAGCCCAGACCTCATGCAGGCAGTTGGATGTTTAATGGGATGATTAAACTGGCACAGTCTTCACAAAACAACATTGCTGTGACACAGATTTCTTTGTTAATAGAGCAGCTTTAATTAAAAAGTACAAGAGTTCGTGATGAAATTCTGGCTTGACCCTCACATTTGACTAATTTGGTGATTTCCTAGAGAAGGAGAATTCCTCTTGGGAACAGCATAGCAGAGCTTGGAAATGAAGCTAAAGATTAATTTGATATGGGGAATGGATTACAAAAGAAGCAAAAACAATCCTGGTGAATCTTGAATAACTCTTGATAGTCAGAACTGAGATGGGAAGCAGTTACTCTGGCTGAACTGCCCCTGGGGTGTTCCTTCCCTGCTGCTGAGGGTTGTTTGCAGAGGAGCTGAAGTGCTGTAACAGCCTCAAGCTCCATCCAGTGATGTTGCCTCCTTTTTTTCTGTGGCAGCCAGCTCATGTCCTTTGCAAAATCAAGAGTAGCTTGAGGCCATCATTTCATGCACGACTTGATAAATTGTGCAAGAAAGAACACTGCCAAATGAGGAACTAAGCCAGTTTTCAATAAGAGGGCCATCTGTGACCAAATGTTTGGGTGAGTTGGGAAACAATAGAGTTTTTTCCCATTTTTACTTTGAGTTCCTTTAGCATGTATGTAACTTTGCTGCCCCCCAAGAGTAAGTTTATGTTACTGTATCTTAGTTTGCAATGCATTAAGTTTTTATTGAGTCAAGCAGTTTCATTTCAGACTTGATCCTATGTGGCACTGAAAAATGATCATCTATGCTGCTTTGGTTCTTGCTGGAGAGTTTTCTAAGGGTAGAGGAAATTCAGATACTATTGGCAGATAAGAGACATGTAAATACATTGTTACTGGCTACAGGAATATTCCCTAAATGTAAGAGTTATTGCTGGAACTAGAAACATTTTAAAGTTGGAACTAAGCTTCTCTCCCTTAACCCAGCCAGTTACTGTTCTGTTTCATAGAATGTACGAAGTCTTGTGTAATTATGTTCCCATGTAGCAAGGATTACTGAGTAGAGCTGCTATTAATTTTAGAGATTTCTTGAACTGTGGCTTAAACTTTTTCAAGAAAGACTATCTCTATGGAAAATGGAATGCCAGTAAGTTAATAGCCAATGTGTTGAAGTATTTTTCTTGGCAACTTTGGTGTCATTGCATGAGAACGAATTCTTTTTACAAAGGGTGATCATACTTTCCTTACTTAATACTGCTCTTTCTAAGAGCAAGAGGAAAATGGAGTGAGTCTTTCTGAATCTGGGGGTTAAATCTGGCTTTTAATTGAGGTAATACATCTGAGATAAGCATTGTACAGCTTGTAAAATAAAGCAAATGGAGAGAAAGTAACAGACCCAGTGTCAGTAACAGGTCAGGAACAGACAGAAACCCGCTCTGCACCTGATGACCAGACTCCTGCCTCTCTTGCCTCCTTGGAAAACATTGCTTGGATCTGGTAATTTGGCTGCTTGTTTCTGTTGAAGTGAACTCTGCAACAGGTAATTTTCAGAAAATAGAAACCTTTTTGTAATGTAATGCTGCTTTGGAAGGGACTGAGGACCTCTAAATATGTGTTTATGTAGCAGGCAGGAGGTACAGAAATCCCAGCTGGGAAGTATCCTCAGAAGTGCAGGATTCCAAATTCCTTGAAGTTGTGTTGTAGGTTCTTCTAGATAAGTACGCAGCTGTTTGTGTGGAGAAGGCAATCACTTATGTATCAATCCATCTGCCTTTCAGAATAAATGTTCTCCATTAAATTACTGAATTGGTAACTTCATCTCCCAAGTGTAAGGATGTTGGTGTTTGTTACATTGCTTTTGAAGTGCATGTTCCTTTTTTTACACCCAAATTACAAGGGTAAGTTCAAGACACTTGAATGCAAATTCTGTTTTCTTGTTTCTGCTGAGTGAAGTTGATTTCTTACCATGTTTGCAGCTCTTCTCTTTCATCTTAAATTAAACAGTGTGACTATACCTAGAAATGGACTACGGATGTCTATTAAAATAGCAGTCTAATTCTGCAGCATGCACTTAACTGTGTGGGCAGTAATCTGCTTGAATTTGGTGAAGACTGCACATATACTGCCAAGATTGGTCTCTGTGTGTTTGGGCAAACTTTGAATAGGTTTTATAATGATTCTAACTTGTAAATTAATTTGGACTAAATTTTAATGTGATAGTTCACAAACTTGTGTGAGAGTAAAGGATGAAAAATATTTGAGATCATGCTAAAGTATGCTAAATTTAGATTACTGAAAGTTATATAGCTCTGTTGAAGGTAAAAGACTTAGCTCTTGGTCCTTTGAACCATTAAATTTAGTCAGTGTGTTGTACACAACATGTTGTGTACTAAGTGTTTTCTAAAGGCACCATGTCACTTTTAACAGTTTAAATATATGCTAATGTTAGAGCCACATTTTTTTGGCCATTGTGTATTTCCCTTTCATTTCAGGATCTTGAATCTCTGGTTTTGCTGCTGTTTCAAGACATCTGCTGAAGGATAACACTGAAATAACCCTTACAGCGGGATGGGATGAAGCCCCATCTCCAGTAGTGTGACAAACACCACTAATGCCTACAGGAGAAAAGTGTCCATCGAGGGTGAAATGCAGAGATGCATTAAAACATCAAACTTTAAAACAAAAATGACAGTTGTAGCTGTTTAATTCCTTTGCTTAGAAAGACTAATGCAATGTCTAAGGAAGTAATCTCTAAATAAGTTAGGAGATGAGATCTTTGAAAGGAGGAAAAACAAAGGCATAGACCTATTGGGAAATTTTGAGGAGACTGTCAAGAGCAGTAGAGAACAGAGAATGGTTAGCATTGGAAAGGACCTTAAGATCATCTAGTTCCAACCCCCTGCCATGGGCAGGAACACCTCACCCTACACCAAGACTCTACCCAACCTGGCCTTGAAAACTGCCAGGGATGGAGCATGTACTATTTCTTTGGGCCACCTGTTCTAGTGCCTCACCACTCTCATAGTAAAGAACTTCTTCCTTATATCTAACCTGAAAGCTAATGTATTGTTAAATGCCTCTGAGAGTGTGTTCTCGGTGTTCTGTATCTTAGCGTAGTGAAGACCAAACTTCATTGAGTGGACACTTGGCATTATCCTATTTGACCCCAAAGGTTTCCTCTGGCCTAAGTGCCTCGTTGAATGGCTCTGTCACAATGTGTCAATTGCCCTTACTCGGAAGTAGCGTAAAAGCATGTGCTGGTAAAGGATGGAGCACAAAGAGAGCATCACCTATGCGGCAGTTAGCTGGTGGATTCATTAGTGCGAAACCAAACGAGTTGTGGTAGCGGGAGCTGGGTGATGGGCAAGGGGAGCGGGGAGGCGGTGGTGTGTGCGGGGCTGATCAGCAGCAACGCGGGGCTGACTCCGGGGCAGCGGGAGATGCAGAGACAGGCCAGGTGCTCTATAATGCAGGTGTAGAGTGGGTGATGGAACGGCCAGGGTGCGCAGACAGAGCCAACTTCTACAGAGCGTTTTCGTGATGTTTGGCTGCAGTCTGCAGCTTTCTAGGGCTGATTTTAGTGTGGAAGCCGCTGCTCCACATTGATTCCCCTGAGCCTCAGGGCAGGGATTTCTGATTGACAGCCCTTGCATCAACGGAAAGGAGATTACCCTGGGGTTTCCCGGGCTAGCAGCCTTTCGCTGGGGCTGCTAACGTGGGAAGCGCGCTCGAGTTTGCCACTTCTGCCCCAGCCCTGGCGTGTTCGCTGCTCCCCCAGATCCGCACCCCCTTCCCGGCTGCCGGGCTCTGACTCACCCGCTGGTGCTCGTGGAAGCAGAACATGGGGGGCGGGAGGGGGGAGCGAGCCTTCAAAGTACCCGCGCCTGGTCTCAGTTTGATGAGGCGCCATTGAGCTTCGCCCCGGCGGGGCCGGGGGCGGTGGAACGGAGCGGTGCCGTGAGGTGCGGAGCGGAGCGGAGTGCGGGCAGCTCCCTCCCCTTTCCCCGCGGCAGCCGGCGGGTGGACCCGCCGCTCTTCCAGGACCGGCGCTGCCAGTCCCCGCCGCTTCCCGGCGCTGGGAGAAGAGCGGGGCTCCGAGGCTGCCGTCCTGGGGACCTGAGGCGGCGGCGGAATCGCGGTTGCCCTTTGAAAGGGAAGAAAAAAAAAAAAAAAAAGGAAGGGAAAAGCGATGAAGACGCTGCAATGCCTCCTGCCAAAAGTCAAGAGCATATCGCAGTCGCAGTGGCTCTGCTAAAACTTGATCATGCGGGATTTCAAGCGATAAAGAGCTGCCGGGCTTGCGTGCACTGCGGTGGGAACAAGTTGCAGGATGAAATCCAGGCGTTAAGGGACCTGTTTTCCACTTCGTTGTTTGCAAAGGAATCTACTGAAATGACTTTGAGGATCTTTAAACTGGAGCTATGTGGAGGGCGAATGCAGTAAGTACCGCCCGGCTTCGCACCGGCTGCTGAGGTGCCGCGCCGCGTTCCCCGCCGGGGTCCCGGGCAGGGAACGCTGGTTGCCTTTGAACCGGGGTCGCTTGAAGAAGTATCTTTGTGCATGTTTACTGGATATAGAGACTGAAAAATCAAAAAGCGATCGTCTTGTGGCGGGAGCTGCTGGAGTATGGCTCCCCGGGTTTACTGCTGCTAAATTGAGAATTAATCTGGTCCGTTACAGGATCGAAAAGAGCTTTACCCCGCACGGGTCTAGCTGCTCTGTGCTTGGGTTGAACCTGTCGAGAAAACTCCTGCCCTTGATCGTGTGAATTAGCCCGCTTCTAGATGCCCTTTCCAGGCTGGGTGCCTCTTCCATTAGAGCTCAGAGCCGTGCGTTTCTCCTGGGAGCAGACGGGCAGTTGGGAGCCCAGGACTTCCAAGGGTAGGGCGGGAGCCGCTTCCCGGACAGCTGCGGGCTCATGGGCGCTGCTGTTGGGAAAGCGCTTGCATTAATTTCCAACCGTGTGTGTGTGTAGGAGGCCAGGACACTTCTGAGTCTAGTCACTTTATTTCCGTTCGCACTCCACATGAGATTGAAATATATTTTCCCCTGTCAAATCACAACCTGACTAACGGTTTTCCACCGTCTCCTCTCTCCCTGTCCCGTCCCGTCCCGTCCCCCGCCCCAGCCCCCCTTTGCCTGCGTCCCTCTCCTCCTAGCTGCCCTCCCGCGCTATCATGTCGCTCGCAGGCTGCGGCGGGAACTACGCGTGCGGCCAACGGCGTGGAGGCCGCCCCTGAGCCCGGGCACCGAGGGGCGCGACATGCCAGCGGCCGCGGCATGCCCTGCACCAGCACCACTGGCACCACCAGCACCGGCTCCACCGGTACCACCGGCACCCGCCGCCGCTCCGTCTTCTGAGGCGCTGGGTACGTGGAAAGACACCGCCGCGGCCGCCAGGGGGCGCCATAGGGCCGCGGAGGGCTCTCCGGGAGCTCTCTCTCGGCTGGGTGGGAGATGACGGGGGAAGAGCCGTGCCCGGGGCGGGCAAAGGGGGTTTGTGTGTGTGTGTGTTGTTTGTTATTGTAATTACTATTTCTCGGGTTCGGCAGGAAGCTGAAGAGGCTTCGTGCTGCGGCCACTCGGATGTGTTTTTTTCTTACCGCTTTCCGAGCACCTCTGGTTCTGCGGCGGCGGGAGCCTCGCCCGCAGTGCAATGGCATGGGAAGCACAGCAGCACTGATGTGCAGTTAAATGAGCTCTCAAGTGTTCATCTCCTCTTCTGCCCGAAAAGGAGGTGATGTCACAGCGAGCCCTTGTCTTGGTGTGTTTTTCTACAGCAGAGGATCCTGATTGATGGTGGAGAAAGGGCTGGCGGGATGAGAGGGAGAGCTGGGAGCTTCCCCCGACTGGGCATTCCTGCTAGGGTTTGCTGCGTGATGCCTTGCAACAAGCTCGGCTTTCGTGGCACAGGGACTCCCTTCTTGCAGGTAGTAGAGAGCCAGTTGTGGGGGTGGAAACCCCCCAGGGCGCAGACACTGAGGGAGATCTCGCTGCGTCAGACCTGCTCTCTCTCTTCTCCGTCCTTCAGATAGTTCAGATAGCCACATCAGTCCTGTGGCTCATCTCCCTCCCCATCCTACTCTGTCTATATTCACTCCCCTACAGAAATTCCATCAAGATGTGAAGTAAACCAATGCAGTGATGCTCATTTGTGGAACACCCTCTCCTTCAGCACCAGTGAACAACTTTGTGTCTGAGATCAGCAGTTCTGAGATAGATTCTCAAGTGAATGCCACGTAAGAAGAGAGAGAATAATTCAGATAGAATATTGTGATTCTGAATCTGTTCCAGAAATGCAGTAGACTCTGCTTCAGCAGCAACTGTCTAGAAGAGATCTTCAGAAATGAAACCACATGGTTCTGGGATGCTGAGAAATGTGTGGAGTATATGGACTGGGATTTCCACCAGACCTCTTGCTTGCTTCTCTCATCTTGAGCTAAAACACCTCTTCCTTTTAGACTGTAACTAAATTTTAACTAGACATTCAGGACACAGGAAAACAGATTTCTGTGTGTTACCTGTTTTAGTACGGCAAGGTTAAAGAGAAGGATGATAATGCCTTTTTTTAATGATTTCAGTCATCATAATTCTGTTGGCCATCCAGGAAGAATTTTAATGGGCTTTTCCTCTGAATTTGTGCTACAGTTTTTGCATTGCTTGTGGGAGACCACTTATAACACTGCCACTGGCAAGCCAACTTCTTGTGGGGATGTAAGAGGCTTGAATTGAAACTCAGGTGAAGAATGCGTTATAAAAAGCTGCTGAAGTTTGCATTGTGTCCAGAAGCTTTCTGTCTAAACCCACCATTGGAGATACACATGTAACTGTGTATTTTTTTCTCTCTGCTGTTTTTCTCATACAATGTGATCGCTTTTACAGGGGATCAAGCTGGCAAAGATGAGGAAAATTGGCTGTGCTCTCCTGGTACTCCAAGCTCTTCTGGCACCTTTGGATCTTGTTCGTGGAGCGGAGAAAAGTTATCCTGTCCTGAACATTGCAGTGATTCTGGGAAGGACCAAGTCTATCACAGAGAGAGATATCAGAGCTCTCTGGACCAGGGAAATGTCAGCAGACCTGACTGTTGATATCAATGTGGTGACCCTTCTGGTGGACCAGACTGACCCTAAGAGCATCATAACACACATTTGCGACTTGATGTCAGGCACCAAGATCCATGGAGTGGTTTTTGGAGATGATACTGATCAAGAGGCAGTAGCTCAGATTTTGGATTTTATTTCTTCTCAGACTTCTATTCCAATTCTTGGAATTCATGGCGGGGCATCCATGATAATGGCAGATAAGGTAGGAAAAATTATTTAATGCTTTTGCTAGTCTAATGTACTTCACTGTATTGGTCTTTATCATGAATATTCACTTCAAGCAGTTCAAAAGGATGCTTCTAATTGTCTTTCTGTGCTTTAAAAAAGAAAATATATTCAGAGCAGTGTCCTCATTAATCATTCCTCAGATATTCTGAAGTATTTTGGTGCTCATGACTGAAAGTCAACTTTCTGTGCACTGTAAAAGCAGTCCTAATGAAATTTACTCTCCAGCACACAGAATGCTGGTCAGTTTAGCAATTTTACCAGCAAATATGACATATATCTGTAAAAACAACCCTAAAATGGTAGGTCCATAAAATGATTTTAAGGATAAGATGTAAAATAAGCAGATATTCTGTGGTACTTCTGAGAAATAGCAAGCAATAGACCTGAATATGTTTCAGGAAAACACCACTAATAAGGCAGTCATATTAAGCTGGACTTTTGTGATCCAATACAGTCTATAAATTAAGCAGTCTTGCAAACTTTACCAGCTCTAGTATTCCATATATTTATTAAATTAGACTTTTGCTAACCAGATGCTTCTCATTTCCTACTATAGCTCATGAAATTCCACAGCGGGATTGTCTGAACTCTGGGGATAACTCCAAATGGTTTTGTTGGAAAACATCTCTATGAAATCTGTTGTGAGACTCTGGAATGACAAAAGTGACCCGTACCCAGCTCATGTTCCTTAATACTGTAGCAGTTTTTAACCCCCCTTGCTGGCACTGCAGAATGGATCTTGTAAAGTGATCTCTGTCCTTTCAGAAACGGGTGCTTAGCACTGTGCAGGACTAAGCTGCTTGCCATGGGCTGCCGCTTGGCTTGAAAGTCCAAGAGGAGCTCCCACTGTGGCGTGGGAGAGGAGAGCTGAAGAGGGAGTTCATGTGTGGGAAGAAATTTAGTGGCTTTCCAGGACACAAAGCTTTTCTATGTTAATTGTAACTTATTGCCTGATATTTCAGGGTTTCTTGTTCGTTAAATGCTGCTATTCCTTATAAGTGGCTTCTGAATAGTACTTGAATAGTAAAGAGCTCTCTCGCTAAAAGCAAAGTGGTCCAAATATGCTGTTTTGTAACTTGAGGGGGAAAAAGAAGCAGGGAAGATGCAATGATTAGTTACAGTTGAGGAATCTGCTTTGAACTTTTGAAGCTTTTTTACCTCTGGGAAGGACTTTTTCCACTGGGATAAAAGATCTGTTTCTCAGTATTTTAAATGGCCTTCCTTTAAAACTTATGTCATACAAGGGGAAGACAAGTGCTGAATTACAGCCAAGATTTTTTAACAATAGCCTTGACATCTTGATTTATATAGAAAGATCGTTACAGACAGTGCTACTCTCTCAAATGTAATTGCAGTGACAAAGTTAGAGGCAGTTATTTCATGTGCTTTTAAATTACTTTATGAATTTACCCATATTTGTAAAGCTGGCTTTATGTATATTTAGGAATTCTATTTCACTCAACTTTCTATGCAGTATTGGAACATCTGAAGATACCAGCCAGTGCTCAATGCTGAAAGACTGGCAGAAATCCTTACAGAATTGACTTCACACTCGGTAGCAGATGCAGGCTGTTACTGATACGGATCTATTTTTTACTTTTATGTAGGAGCCTCTAGAAAATGAGATAGATTGTATTTTTGTTGTCTCAGTAAGTTAATGCTATTTTCGTTGTTTGCTAACATTGTCATTAGTATCCCAATGTCTTTGATTTTAGGGGTCATCACAGTCTGCTAATAAAACATTTTTATGCTAAAACTTGGCTTCTAAGATTTCCACTTATGAAATCAAAATTGTTCTGTGTGTTAAGACAATCTAATAGAGCTATCTTCAGTAGCTTAAATTGGCTGAAGGAATTGTTTGGACTAAAATTGACTTAATTTTTACCTTGGATTTTGCAATATGCAGTGTCTTGCAGCTGGGTTTAGAACATTGCAGTAATGAGACTTGTACATGTTACTGAATTAACAATTCATTTAGGAGTGAATTCCTGGGAGTCAAAGGTGGAATTCACAGTGCTGTCATCAAGGCAAGGGAGGAAGGCTGAGGCAGGACCACTGCAAATACACAGCGTGTCTTCCAAGGAGTGTCAGGATTTTAGCTGAAACACATGGCTGTTGCCTAGATTGTGAAGTTGATCAGTGTTTAAAATCTTCTGTCTCAATGTCATACACTGAGATGGGTGGATATGCAAAAAAATACCTGGTCCCAGTCCTGCTTGTGGATGTAGTTCTCTGTCACTCTAATAAGGCCATTTCATTTATGTCCTTATTGTGTGTGTCTAACAGGTGTTTTTCTTCTCTGTGGCATTATGCTGGTACTGTGCTTTAGATGACTTTTACTTCAAAGTGTGTGTATAGTACCTGCTTGTTTGTAGACTACCAAGCATGGCTAACATAAGGGTGGCACAATAGTTCAGGACTTCTGTGCCAAGTGGTTGTTATTTGATGCTCAGCTGTCCTAAACATGAACTAAACTAAAGGCATAGGAATGAGAAGTCATCTGTAATGCTCTCTAAGGCTGAAGACTTTAGTGGAACGACTCAGATTAGATAAAGTTACCATATTCTTTATGGGTAATAACTACTGTGTGAATCTCACATGAAGAGCCATCTCTTTAAACAACAAAAAAATTGTTCTAAGTTTCTAAATAGGAGCTATGCCCCCATTTGGAGGATGCAGTGATTAATGCAGGACATGCAGCTTTTGAAGTAATTCCTGTGAAAACAGCAATGAACAGCGTGTAATTCAGACTGCCTTCCATACCCCAGCTGGCTGCACTCTCCTTCAGTTTGGTTAAGGTTTGCCTGCACCACCTGAGGAGATATGTTGCTTGATACAGCCTGTGAAAATTGATGGGCATGTGAAACCAACCAAACTGGAATGTTTTCTGAACCTAGTTGATCTGCCTTCACCTGACATCTGCTGTCAAAACCCTATCAATGAGCCAATGTGTATGCTACCCACATCATCCTAATCCCAACTGTGCTGCAGAGATCCCCTCTGGACAAGGCCACTGACTCTGCCTCCAGCTGATCTTATCGCCTGCTGTTGGCAGGATCTCACCTGCCATTGAACAGCTTCTTGGCTTTGGTTCCTGCTGCTGCCAGACTTAAAACATATTCAGATGTGGAATAGCCTACTGAAACAAGATGAGAACTTGTCTGGGGCATCTGTGCCAACCTGCTGTGCATCGGTATCCTTGGAAGATGCTGAGAACAGACTAGCTGTTTATTCAGCTTGTATCTGCTGATGTTTGAGTGATCTCAGGCCAAACATTACTTAGGAACTGTTTCCTGACTTGAGCGTTTGGTTTCAAACTTAGTGATGTTTGTTTCGCCACATGCTATCATAATAATGGTAGTATTTGTGACACCTTTCTAAAACAGAACTTCATGATTTAGTTCTGTGACAATAATAGAAGATTTGCTTCCTTCACAAGTGGTGAATAAGCCTTTGAACCATACTGCTTTTGCATAGTGCAAAATGTATTTTTTCTATTTTTTCATTATAAGTCTTTCTGAAAGACATAACTTGAAGCCTTAGATTGTCATGGAAGTACGGACAGTTATAATACATAGCCAAGCAGCATTAAAGGTAAGGGTCTTTTTCCAGAAGGGCTATTACAAAGGGGTTCTTCTTGAAACAGCTCTGGAAATGTTATGTAAAACAAATCTTTGCTTTTCAAAAAGATAAGTACTATATATGGTTAAATTATCTTTCTTCATTATTCTTTCTGCTGCTAACATTGAAAATAAACAATTGTTCATTATAAAATCTCCTTGGCATGTACCATTACCTTCAGCTTTCCTTTTTTACCTCCAGCTTTCCTTTTTTACCTCCATCCTCCTCCAAAATAATATAGAATCACAGAGCAATTGAGGTTTGAAGGACACGCTGGAGGTTGTCTAACCCAACCCTAGCTCAATGATGAGCTAACATCAAAATCAGATCAGATTGTCCAGTCAAGTTTTTGACATGTCTATGGCTGTAGAAACCACAGGTTCTTTGGACAATCTGTTCCAGTACTTAACCTTTCCTTGCATCTCAATAGAATCTCCCTCTGTATTAAAGGAGGGAATGGGTGCTTCTGCTGGTGCAGCATGGTTGGGCTTCACCACCGGGAGGGTGCACTGCTGGCTCATGTTCAGCTCATCCACCAGCCCCCTGTGGCCTGTAGTGCTGCTGGGACATCTATTAACAACACATCGACCTGTCAATAAGTAGTGCGTGAAACTGTACTTATAAGTCGTGGTGGGTGTTTTTAGGTGTTTTACTGAGATACCTGCAGATGGCTGCATTATCTGTCATTATCAGCTCGTTATAAACACAGCTGGAATTGCACTGTTTAGTCCTTATTCCTGAGACACAAAAAACATACTTGTGAAAAGCAGAGCTCTGAGACCAGACTTGTAACTGTGCCCAGAGTACCCTCAGACTACACTCCCTTATCCATACGTGGCTTTGTATGCTGCTCTTAAGGCTTCTCTACACATCTTAGAACTTCATTGCCATGGCATTGGCGTTGCCATTGCTGTGTCCTCATAATGCAGTAATCTACACTTAACATTCGCACTGTGCATAAGAGGGCTTCTATTTTTCTGCTTTAAAAATTGTTGTGGTGCATGGGGGGGGTTGGGTTTGTTGTGGTTTTGTTTTGTTTTTTTTTTTTTGTTGTAGATAATACTTAATGGAGTGCACTCATCAATTGCATGTCTTCCATATGCATTCTGTAGGTGTTCATCCAGTTCATCTAGCTGGCTTGTAAAAGCAGTCCTGTTTGTTTACAGAAAAGGTGAAACACAAATTTTGTAACTTTTTATTTCTGCCCTTACTGATAACATGTATGGCGCTGTACTCCTGCCTTCAGCTGGTACTGCAAAAGAGAGGACAATTGAACTGTAGTTTAATAAATGCTTTAGTGCACAAATACCTGTATTCATGGAATTGGAGTTTCAGGTCTCGATATAATAGCTT